AATCTATAGCCACACATCTCAAACATTGTTTGATTACTACCTTAAAAACTTCGGCCCCCTTAATGACAATATTCAAGTAAAACATATTTGAGATGTGCAGTTATAAATTATATTGGAATCTATATTGGTACAATCTTGTTAGTAGCAGATGGGAGTTCTGAAGAAAAAAGTAAGGAAAGGAAGAAAAAGATAAGAAAACCTCTACAAATCTTGTATAGATTTTTTCATATTTCTTTTTCTTTTTCTACTTTATCCTTCAAATCAAACACAACCTAAGGGTCTATTTTAAGTACATAGAAAGAATTTTTGGGCCAAGGTATTTTTCATGAATGTTTAGAGTGGGGAGAGTAATAAAGGTTTGCATACAAGGCTCAGTTTGGAAGGAGTACAAATACAAATACGTACAGTACAAATATATAAAAAATACATAGTTTTGCATTGTACATATTTGCATTTATACTCTTTCCAAACTGAACCTAAAATTCATAAAAGAGGGTTTATTTTGAAAACATGGCAAGATTTTTTTTAGGCTGAGATGCTTTCCATCCATAATTTGTCGACAAGAAAACAGAATAAAGGGTGGAAAGAGGAATAGACTCCTTTTGAGCAGTGAGGACCAACACCAAAGTTTCCATCATTCACTGAACAACTACATTAGCTTCCTTTTCAGATGAGTGATGGTGTTCCCATCAACGATGGCCACAGAGAGAGATGTTTGTATCCATCATTGACAAAAGTGATATCAAAGAAAGAAATGACGTATATACATGGCTTAAATACAACTCAAAGTGTGTCCTGAATTCCTGATACACATCTTCCCACCCATGGTATCCGTGAAATCAGCAAAGGCCATATATAAAAATATTATATTCCAATGCTACTATGTCAATAGATTAGATTTAGGCCATGTTTGGGAGTGCTTAAAAATAAGTGCTTATTCGAAATAAGTATTTATTTGGGCCGGAATCATACTATTAAGCATTTATTGGTGTTTAGGAATAAGCTCGAAATAAGTGTTTATTTTTTTTTCTTTCAAAACCATCCCTATTTGAATTTTAAAATACCACTTATAAAATTGTCCTTAGTTGAATTTTATAAAAGTACTTTCACAAAAGTGCTTTCATAGAAATACTTTCTTAAAAAGTACTTTTATAAATGATTTCGTAAAAGTGCTTTCATAAAAGTAATTTCATAAGTGTATATTTTGAAATTTTGAAAAAAAAAAAATGGACAAAATAGTCACAAATGCTTATGTATGTGTTTATGGGAGAAAAAGACTATCAAATGCCCAATACAAAATAAGTGATTATTTTTTAAAATAAACACTTGAAAAAATTGGATGCCAAATACAAACAAGTGCTTATTCGAATAAGCATTTATTTTTAAGCACTTGTTTTTAATATAAGCACTCCTAAACATGGCCTTAGAACAAGCTGATATTTCTCTTTAAAAATATCTAAACGAGAAGCATCTGATTTGGCTTAGATCTTGGCACAAAGGCTGATCATTCTAATTCATCCTTTGCAGGTTGGTTGGATTTGTGTAGAAAGTCTGAATGAAATGTACTCAGCAGTCAGCACTCTCTTGTTTAGATATTTCTCTTTAAAAATCTAGAAAGAGAGATATAATTTTGTTCTTAACAATGAGGAATGTAAAGGCAGTTTTGGTGGAAGGGTGGCTCACTTAAAAATAGTTATCATAATATACATTGGACAAGTTGTGCAAAAGAAAGAAAAAAGGGAGGTTGGGATTCAGAAAATTGGATGCTATGAACAAAGCTTTTGGGCAAACAAGTTTGGAGATTCACAAATGAACCAAATTGTTCGTGGGCTCAACTAATCAAAACTAAGTATTTGAGATCCAACTCAATTTTTAACCAACAGCCAAAATCAAGTGACTCCCAATGGTGGAAACAGTTTATAGAAATAGCGTATCTTCTGAAATATGACTTCATATGGCAAATAAAGAATGGTGAAAAGGTTTCCTAATTAATGATCCATGGGTACGATCAATACAGGGGGGCTTTCCGCCATTGAATGAAGATGTTTGCCAATTTGCTCAATCTCTCAAAGTCAAGGATGTTCTTGTCAGAAATGGAACTTGGAATCTGCAGGTTCTCAAGGGCTTATTTGATCAGGAAACAGTACAAGAGATACTGAAGGTTCACTGCTTTAATAACATTCATGAAGATGTTTTACTGTGGAAGCATTCTTGCAGCCATAAGGTATACAGTCAAATCTGCATATCATAGTTTTCAAAATCGGACCGGTAAAATTGGAAATTGGTCAGGTGATTGGTTTTGTTTTATCCCAGAACCGTTATTTTCCCCGAAAACCGTTGATTTGATCAACAAACCTCTGATCCGGGTAATCGAACCGTTCAAACCATTCCAATGATTTGGCCTTTTTTTTTGTCAGAATGAATTGTCTGTTCGGTTCGACCTAGGAATTGGACCCCTGACCAATTTATTGTCCGGTTTGATTTTAAGAACCTTGCTGCATATCAATGTTTTACGAGAGAATTTACATCCACTTCATGTCAAAGAGTAGCATGGAAGAATACTTGGAAGGTGAAGGTCCCTTTCAGATTTCAACTCTTTTTGTGGAAACTTTATTGGGGCGGGGTCCCTACAAAATACAACCTCGAGTTCATACAATATACAGATACCATTTTTGTCCTTTGTCAAGAGCATGTTGAAACATTTACACACCTCTTCATATCATGCCCGTTTGCAAGAACTGTTTGGGCAGCTCTTCATGTGAATCTCAACAGGGTTAATGACAGATCTGTTCTAATCTAAGGGTGTCAATGGACCGATTTTGGATTGGACCCCATCCAGTCCAAAATCAAGTTGGATAGATTGGACGGACCAACAAGACCTATTGGATTGGATTGATTCGGTCCAAAATATTTATTATATTGAATTGGACCTGTTCCATCCGTAATAAATTTACATTGGATTGGATTGGATTAAGCCAATATCTGATCTATTGATATAAGATAAGAATATAGGTGTCAATGGACCGGATTTGGGTTGAAACCAATTTAAATCAAAACGAATTTAAATAGATTGGACGATCCAGACATTGAATTGGACCAGTCCAAAATATTCATTGGATTGAATTGGACCTGGTCCATTTATAATAGACTCACATTGGGCTGGATCGGATTTGACCAAATCCAGTCCGATTGACACACCTAATCTAATCCATCTACACATTCAGAAATGAAAAGAGACATTGCCTTTAAGTACCTCTAAAAGGGAGCAAGAAGAGCTGCTATAAAAGATAGTAATAGCATTTAGACTCATATGGGACGTTAGAAACAGGAAGTTATTTGATAACACTACACCTAATCTCATGGAGGGCATGGACAGAACATTCCAACTCCCTCCTGAAGGTCTTGATGTACAAACATTTCATCTGTTAATTTAGTGTTTTGTTTTTTTGGCTGACAAAAAAAAAAAATTCTTATTGGTATAATCAATGTCATTCACAAGTCAACATTGGAGAGATAGCTAGCTCTTGCAACTGAGATTGTTAAACTACTGTCAGGTAAGGTTCAAAGCATGGTTTTTAAAATTGATTCCGAGACCAAACTGGTTAAGGGTTCGGTTATCGGGTCAAACAGTCTGACAGTTTGAATTAAATGGTCGGCCCGTTCTGACAAAAAAATAAAAATGATTTAAACAGTTAATTGCTCAAGTCAGCGGTTTACTGATTAAAATCAACAGTTTTTGGAAAAAATCCAATTCAACCATCCGGTCCGATTTTAAAAATCATGGTTCAAAATATCATAGATATCCACTTATATGTATCGAATCAGTGGATTATCGATACATGAAATAAGGAGAGTTTTGGGGTAAGACCTATTTCAAGGGGTAGTAAGGCCTTTAACCGACCCCCCTAAACATGTTTGGTAAAAAAAATAAAGGAGAAAAAATAGTGCGTTGAACAAAGTACTTTGAACCTTGCTGTCAGGCTAAGTAAGGAGAGAAATGAAGAAAAATATTTTTTGGAAATATGGAGAATGGTGTTAAGGGTGAATATTGATGGTGGGTTAATATCTCCTAAAGTAGCTTTTGATCTTATCTGTAGAGATTCTGAAAGCGTCAATTTGGCAGCCAAAGCGTCGTTCTCTCCTTTAATGGCTAAAGCTGAAGGTCTGAAGCTGTCTTACATGCTTTAAGAGCTGTTAAAGAAATGGATCCGAAGATGGTGATCGTTGAGAGCGACAGCATTCAACTTATAAAGAGTTTAAAGGACCTCTCAGAATTCAAACTTCAAACTCATGCAGTCAGAACTCAGAACATCTTGTTCAGGACAGCTTGGCGTGTTGTCTTAAGCAACTACTGAAATTTCAATGTATTTCTAGTCTAGAAAGAAAAATACAGCAGCTCTTGAGCCGGTGAAAATTGGATTTAAGTTCAAAAGGGGGAGCATTTCTGGGTTGTTCTGTTTTCTTTCTTTTGTGGACATTTCTTTGGTTGTTTGCTTGTTTTTCCGTCAATGAAAGGCAAGAACAAAAACCAAATCCAACCTTATAGGGTCAGGTTAACTGGTCCATCTCACAATTTTTATAGTTCACACCAATAATAGGTGCAAATATTTATATAAAGTCTTATAATAATAGGGCAAGTTTGGTTTTAAGAAAAAAATAGAAAAATAGAAAAATCTATACAAGGTTTATAAAGGTTTTTTTACCTTTCTTTTTCCTTTCCCTACCTTTTCCTTCAAACTAAACATAACAAAATTTCTAACATAGTTCTTAAAAAATTTTATTTGACAAAAACATCTACACTATCCATAGTTATAGTTCCACACAACACTGTAAAATGTATTCCAAGAATGTGACGTTATCTCAACCACTCAATGATGGGGCCTGCCCATTAGATTAAGACGCTCCACATTCCTATTAACCACATATATAATTTTAAGAATTGATTTATAAATTTGAAATACACATAAGGTGGGCCCTAAATCTCAAATGGGAAATAAATATAGGCAACATAGACACGGCAGGTATTCCTGTATAAGAAATAATAGTAACAACTAAAAATTTTAATAATCAAAACTAGAGAGGAAGGGGTGATAATCACCTACAAAAAAGAGAAAAAGCAACAATGTTTTGGGACCATAATCAACCCCCCCAGCTCTACACCCTAGGATCCAGAATCAAGAACCAAGATCCAACGGTGAATTCATAAAGGGGTTTACCATGGTCCCATGGGACAATATAGCATTGGCAGAATGAATTGCATATGCAACTCTCGGGTTCATCACATTCACATACATTAAAGTCAAAAAAAAGTGTAGCGACACACGCAGGCACACACACATGCGCTCCTTCAGTCATCTTGATCAGATAGAGATAAGTCCTTCTGTTTTGTGTCTGGCTACAGCTACAGATACAGAAGAAAACGGGAGCCGCTGATAATAAAACAAACGAGACGAAACCCCGAAAGCAGCGAAGAAAACCCTAAAAATAGGAAGCCCGCGAATCCCAAAGCGACTGAGATGTCTGATTGAACACAAAACGAGTTTACAGCCGTACACGTGTCTCCTCCTCCCCCTCCTCCCCTTAAGGTTCGGGACAATGCCGTTCCCGCAGCGTCCGCCGACAGCAGCAGGTAAGCAAAAACCTAAGCAACCACCGCGACATTTAAACCAAATCCACGTCGATGCAATATTGAAAAAGCCTACCCTACTTTTTATTAGCAACAAAAAAAAGGCCAAAGAAGTGGGTCCAGTCCAAGTACCCAAGTACCCAAGTACCCATTACCCTTACCCAACGACAAACTGGGAAACAGAAAGCAAAGAAGAAAGGAAAGGGTAACCCCAAAAAGTAATTAAAAAAGGAAATAGAAAAAAAAAAAATCAAAATGAAATGTCCAACACAACACAGAACACCTCCACCGACCTGATCGTGACCGAAATCAAACCAGACCTGCACGATCTCCGGCAACAAAGTTGTTCCTTTCAAAATCTCCCAAATCGAAGCTCCCATTTCCGCCAAGGAATAGAAGGCCACGATTGCGTTTGCAGCCAAAACAAATCTACGACAAAAAAAATAAAATAATTAATATTCCCTCGTTCTCGTTGTTGTAACCTGTTAAAGTTCAGACAAGCTTAAAGAAAAAAAAAAAACGATGATGGAAGAACCGAAGAAAGAAAAGGGGGGTACCTAAAAGCGTCGAAATCGTGCCAATTGGGGGAATCAGAGCCGTGAGAATTGGTGATCATAAAAACTGCAGAGGCAAGAGAGAAGCTAAAGGAGGCAAGTCGGAATACAAGTATGAGTATGTTGAAGCGTCGGAGCTTTTGCACGGACACAGTTGAATGGAAAGGGAGATTTGACGTTCGAGGTGGAGTCTCACCATTTCGGAGTGACGACTGTGGGAATCGCATCCTTGTTCCTTGATGTTGTTGTTGTTGCGAGTAGACACAATGCAAGAGTTAAGAGGATAAGTCATGAGACTTAAGGAGAGATAAACCGAAAAGGAACAAGGTTTTTTTTCTTCCTCCTTTCTCTCTCTCTCTCAGTCTTATTATTTCCCCTTCTTATACTATTTTTCTTTTTTTCATTTTGAGAAAAATAATTTTATGGGACAGATTTTGGTTAGAATCACGGGGATGATGAGGGAGGGAGAGAAAGGAAATAAAAAGAAATAAAAAAGGAAAAGAAAACCCAGAAAAGGAAACCCTTTTTACACAATCGTTCGAACATATTGTGTTATACCCAATAGTAAAAGTCAGCACTGAGCAGAATGAGTAGCGAGTGAGAAGAGAGGGTAGAGGTGAAAGCTTTTACATCCTTTCTTTCGAAACCGGAAACCTCCTTCTTTATTATTTTATTATTTATTTTCTCCCTTTCCCTTTTATCTTGACTACGGCCTATTATTCTGCGGCCTGCGGGTTTTCTGTTTGCCTTTGCGCTGGTTGGTAATCATAGTTTCTTCCCTCTCATTTAATGCTCTGAGGAGTGAGGAATGGCTACTGACTACGGAAGTGAAGAATGAAGATTGAGCGAGTCTTCTCTTTTTTTTTTTTTTTTTTTAAATATATAAAACTTGAACGAGGAACGACATCCCACCCACCCATCAAGCAAACAAAAGGTCTAAGAGAAAGAGCAGATGAAATAAATGGTTAGTTGGGATGAGTATTCCCTGATCCTTTTCATCAGTGGTGGGTGGTGGGTGGGACCACTTCTCAACCCATAGAAAAAAACCTCGTACCATTTTAAAGTAGATACATACAAAACATACTCTACTCTAGTCTCATTTCTCATGTGAAAGTGAAACGGCGGGGATATATGCATTTGAACTTGTTGGTTCAAAGTTTGAGCCTGAAAACAGGTTCATATTTTCCGACCTTTAACCCGGTTCCGATCCTTGCTTATTGTCTTGCTTTGTAATTTGCCCGGCAATGATGTAAGAATAAAGATGACCCTTTAATATCCGGTGGACTGGCCAAATATTAGGAAAAACGAAAGCGCAAAATACAAAAACCTCTCCCAAGTTTCTGACAATCATAAAAACCTTTTCTATTGTTTTATTTTAGGAAAAACCTTCCTTCTATTTTTTATAAAATTAACAAATACCTCCCGAATGAACAACATTAAAAACGTTAAAAAGATATAACTTTTTCAAAATACCTATTTTACCCTTTTCTCGACCACGATATATCTTCTTCCCCATTCAAACCTAGAAGTAGAGGCAGCGGCGACATCCCTCTAAATCCGATATCTTCCTCTTCTCTCATCTTCTTCGGCTTCTTGTTCTTCTCCTTTTTCCCTTTCTCTATCCCATTTCTGCCACTACAACTAGGGTTGTTTATAGGAAGGCCCAACCCAACCAAACCGACCAACCCGGGCCGATCCAACCCGAGTTAGTCGGGTATTCATCAGTACCGGTCGGTTTGGGTTGTACAAATTCATAAACTGATGGTTCGGGTCAGTTTCGGTTTCTTGTGTGAAAACCGAAATCGACCCGAACCGAACCGACTTATTTCCTACTTAACTAAAAATTAAAATATCTGAAAATATATATTCCAATATCTATATCTAAAAAATATATATTATGAAATGTGTCAAATATATATTTTCAGAAAATATATATTCCAATATATTTGTATGTATATTTTTGTTTATATATATATATATATATATATATATATATATATATATATATATATTTCTAAAATACATATTTCAGTTTTAAATATATTTCCAGAAAACTAGGTGGCCATGGATGAACTTAGAGCCTAAACTGACCCAAACCAACCCAACCCGACTCAAACCGACCAGGTCGGTTTTGCTTAACACTGGGTCGGTTTCGGTTTCCATCTCAGGTAACCCAACTAGGTCGGGTCGATTGGAAAAACCTCAGTAAACCGACCCAACCCGACTCATGTACAGCCCTAACTGCAACCAGTTGCAATGGCGGATTCGAACTCAGCATCGATTAGATCTGTTCATGGGTCGGGTAGCCCGATGGCCCGGCCCGCACCCCGTTCTGGTTTGGTCATGTAATTAGGCCGCGGGCCTGACCTCGGGCCTAACACAGTAAGCCCGAGCTCGGCCCAGCCCAACTCAGCATTATATATTTTATAAAATACATAATATGTATTTTATATATTATATAAAATATATAAATAATATAATATTTATTGAAATATATATTTATAATTTAATATATACATTTTTTATTTTTTTTCTTTATAATTTCTTTCTCACTCTCTCTCTTTCTATTCAGCCGCTTCAGCATTAGTAACAACATGGGTTAATTTTGGGATCGGGCCCAGGCCCGGGCTTCAAGCTTTTTATGAGGGCCGGGCCGGGCTCGGGCCTTAAAAAAATCTGTTAATACAGAGTGAAAGCCCGAGCCCGGCCCGGCCCATAAACAGGTCTAGCGTCGATCCACCTTCTCCCACCATCTTTTCCCTGTCTTCTTGTTCCTCCTTTCTTCTCCTTCCCCTGGCCGGGCCCATAAACAGGTCTAGCGTCGATCCACCTTCTCCCACCATCTTTCCCCCCGTCTTCTTGTTCCTCCTTTCTTCTCCTTCCCCTCTAGGCATCCATTTTCGGATCGCTTTCCATCCCTGTTCTCTAATCATCACCATAGTCGCATCCATGACAAACTGAACTTTAAATCCTGCATCTTCAACAACCTGAACTCTAGAGCAAACAAAGAAAAATCGAAAACAGAACTGAAACCAAATCGTTAATGGCATTTAACCCAGGAAAAAGATAAAACGGAAAGAGAGAAAAATAAACAAATAAAAAACGATCTAGCAAACAAGAACAAGCAAGAATGTTCAGATCGGACTAGGTTGAGAGTAAGATCTATGGGAGAGAATTTGATGGAACCTACTCCATCGATCTTCTCCCCAACCTCAAATCCTCCTTGTCAAAGGAAATATAGAGAACATCTGGTTCAGGGTGAATAACTTAGTAATGACCTAGCCGATGGTTTGATACTGCCAACAAGAATTCCAATGAGTTCGATGTGTTCAATAATCGAGAAAGAGGGTACGGAAGGGTGGAATGATCGAATCAGCTCCCACCTACAAGCTTGAACGAATGGATGACGACCTCTAGGTGCTTGACTCACGACATTGTTCAATTGAAGGAATATCGTTCACGGAGCGGGGACCTTGGATGGTTGCAAAACCGGATGACGACGGTGTGGTTTCACCTCTGATAGTTTTTCCCCATAACTGGTACGAGCTCAGAGATGCGAAGGAGATTTGAAAATATCGCCGCCTAAGGGAAAAAGACGCCGATGGTTCGCAGGGATGAATTTAGATCTGCTGCTGCTCGAGAGGAAGAAGACGATCAACGGTTCCTTCAATTCTGCTATCTCTGTCACCGTTGCTCTGCTCGGTCTCAAATGGAAGGCAATGAACAGGGGGTATTTCCAACTGACTAGAAGAAGAAGAAGAAGAAAATGAGAGAAAGGGAGAGAGGGAGGAAGGGAGTGGCTGAGAGGGGGTGTCACCGCCACTACTCAGCTTTTGGGTCCGAATGGGGAAGGGGAGGAATAGTGCCTTTTCGAATGATTTATGTTGAGGGGGAGAAGGGCAATAGGAAAGAGAGATTGAGAGGGAGAGAATGGCAGAAAGGGAGAGGTTTCGCATGAAGTACTGCCGCTGCTAAGAGTTGCAGTAACGGTGGTAGAAAATAGGGGCGATGGAAGGGGACAATGCCAGAAGAAGAAGAAGAAGAACGGAAAAGAACAAGAAGATGAGAGAAGAGGAAGAGATCGGATGCCTCTGCTTCTGGGTTCGAATGGGGAAAAAGATTAACAGTGTTCGAGAAAAGGTAAAATAAGTATTTTGAAAAGAAATCATCTCTTTAATTTTATCAAAAATAGAGTTGAGGTTTTTGTTAAAATGAAATTACAGGAAAAGTTTTTATGATTGTCATAAATTTCCAAGGAAATTAAAAGAAAAGAAAAGAAGATCGAGTCTAGCAGTCAAATTGTAAGGAACATGCTTTTATATTCTTCTCAATATATGCATTGTAGACCCAGTTATATATCATTATTTATTACACAAATTTTTTAAACAAGAGATCTATTAATTATACCCTTAATGTTTTAGATTGTTTGAAAGTACTCCTACTCTGACAATTGTCACCAAAGCCAAATACACGAAAAGTCATTTTTATCCTAAGAAAAGGCATCAAATAGTAAATTACTATTTTGATCCTATATTTAACACAACGACGACTGCTGCACCTTCCATCCGGTGGTGCGACAGTGAGTCATCACCGTCGTCTCTCCAGAATTTAGAAATCATGCCGTCAATATTACCAGCCTTGAATGGCTTGTTCACACGGCCCTGTCTCCGTCAGGATTCGACTTCCAACCAGAATAACCTTCTGCTGATAAACACTTTTGCGATGGGAAAATTCTTCCAACTGAAATTAGGAAGAAAATTAATCATCCGCGAAAGACCCACAAATCCAGGTCTCCTCATCACCCTCCTCTACCAACAACAACGCCACCTCCTAAACTTGCTACTTCTAAAACTGAAAATTCGAATAAAGAGAACTTGGAAAGCCCAGAAGGAGACGAAAGAACCTTCAGTTTTGAAGTCGTTCTAGTGATTCAAGCGAAACAGTAGTGATTGGGATCTAAGGTATTAGAAGTCACACGAGTAAGAGAAAAAACTGAATAGTCAACAAATTGTTTGGTTAACTCTTCAGCTGAAGATTATTCTGGTTGGAAGCTTTCATTGAGGCAGAAATCGAAATCCAGGAGAGAAGAATCTGAGCGGTAGTTGTGTTGTCCGATTGTCACAATGTCTGCATAGCGGTGGTCAAGAGAAAAAGATTTGAGGGTCATTCCCAGACTGGAGCTCTCCGAGAAGCTCCAAAGCTTTCGAACTGAGCTCTCCGCCCCTGGAGACAGGGGCGGTACTGCCTGACGTGCTAGATTGCGCACTGAAGACAGTGAGGGCGCCAGGGCGGATGGACCGATGGCGCTGTACAAGGGATTCATCTCTACGATATCGAGGCAGAGGCAATTTGCTAAGGTCTACCATGCCAAGAACCTACAGACCGGTAAGAGCGTGGCGATGAAGGTTGTTGGGAAGGAAAAGGTGATCAAGGTTGGAATGACGGAACAGGTGAAGCGGATTTGTGATTCCGGCATCGTTTTCTAGCTCCGATCGAGATCTTCTCACTCTCCCTTTTTTTTTCTTGTTTCCTTCCCGCCATTTGTCCCCTTGCACCATTTATCAAACACATCGCAGGTGAAGCAGGAGATTTCGGTAATGAAGATGGTGAAGCATCCCAACATCGTCGAGCTCCATGAAGTCCCCGCCAGCAAGTCTCCGAGACAGTGAGCTTCTCTGCAAGGTCGCGAAGGGTCGGCTGAAGGAAGTCGCTGCACGCACTTACTTCCAGCAACTTATCTCTGCCGTCGATTTCTACCACAACTGCGGTGTATAGCATCGGGATCTGAAACCTGAGAATCTCCCACTCGACGAGGAAGGAGATCTGAAGGTTACAGATTTTGGGCTTAGCGCGAGAACGTATGTCCCTGCATTGGTAACATCTCCCGTGAATAATGACGTATAAGTACGGAAGATATTTCCAATGCATGGTTGAGAATATCGTTGTGAGCGCCTGTGTGATGATCAGATCATGTCTCTCTCCTATCAATTAAAAATTAAAAACAGATGGTCTATTGCACACATGTGAAAGCGTACATGAAAAGGGCATTTTTTACTATTAAAGGGTATTTTGGACATAATTATTAAATCAAACATGTAAAATCATGTTTAAACGGTTTGTGACAGAAATTTAATGAGAAGAGAATTATGCGACAATTGTCAGAAATAGTAGAAATACTTTAATTATATATTTGGCGTTGATGCTCAGAAAATGGTGCTTCTGATACCTCGTTTGAAAGCATCATTTTTTGAAAAAACAGTGTCTTTGTTTTTTTGTTTGGAAACATTACTGTCAGGTAGGGTGTTTCCTCAAACAACAACAAATACTTTCTGTTTTGTACCAATGCTTCACATTTGCTTTAACCACGGGTACCCATTATAGGAATTCCATGTCTTTATTGACAGCAAGAAGCTCTAATCCGAGGAAACATCAAATTTAGCGTTGCTCCAAACTACGTCTTCTCGATTTTCAAGGCATGGCATAAAGCATAAAAAACAGTTCCAAACAAATAGACGTTTCCTAGAGCACCGTTTTTCTGGTGTGGCACTGATGTATTACCATTTTCTAGAGCAACGTCATCACTGGCAAACAGACACTAAGACAATAGTGAAATAATAGGAGTATAGTTAGTCAATTTCCTAAACCTTAAGAATAATTTAAGAAATTTGCCCTTATTTGTTCCAAAACAGAAATTCTCATCTCCGCCCCACAAGGGGCTGTCCCACAGCACATTCCCATGTGTATTGGGAACATCTCCCAATGATAGTACAAAAACTGATGATGTCTTCATCAAGAGATGTTCCCAATATACGGTGGGGATATGTTGTGGGGGGGAGATGTTGTCTCCCAAAACTAGCCCTACCAATCAAATTATAAGTTTGCGTGAAAGAGATCACATTCACATCTCTGCCCCACAGCAGATCCCTGACGTGTATTGAGAGTATCTACCGGTGCTTGTACTATCATAAGGAGATGTTACCAATACACGGAGGATGTGCTGTGGGGCGGAGATGTGAATTCTGCGTGAAAGTGTGCTTTATATTTATATTTCCCTTGATACTTGGTCCATGTGCGTCTCTTGTGGCAGTGTGACGTCAGGAAGTCTACATACCTAATTGCCTTGAACAAAAATTGGTATAATACAACTAATTGAGTAATTTTTTTGGATCGACTATGATACCCAAAAAAACATAAAACCAATCAACCGGAGGCATCATAAAATAGGTAACCAGTCAGGTGGTAGTCATCAAATTTTACAGGGGGTTGATTGGGATCAAATCCAGCAACGATCAAATCCGGTGGTCATTCAATGTGTCCATCCAAATTAAAAGCATTATCGCCAATGATCCAGCAATGTCCCTTTGAATACGGAGGCATGGGATCAAATCCGGTAATAGATGATGAGATTAGTGCGCCATTTGAATGGGATCAAATCCATTGGTTAACAATATTTTCATGTTTCATGACTTTCTTAGATTCAACGCTTCATTTGTTTATTGTTTCTTTAAATAACAAATGGAAATATGCTGATTGGTAACCACTTCTATAATACCGATTGGTGAATTAGTAGTTTTTTTAAGAATGATGTCTTCCTACTCTTTCATTTTTCTTTTTAAATTACAAGTATTTTGAAAGAAAGTCAGGGTTAACCTTAGTGTGATTGAAAAATATGAACCTGACTTCAGGTTGGGCCCTGGGCACCCAGACTCAACCTGAACTCACATATTACTAGCAATGACTCAGTCCTGCGACAAGCCGGATCCTAAAGAAATTATTGTAGGTTAAAATATCAAACTCAAGAATTCGGTCGGATTTCTATGGCTTCAGACATGTTAACAAGATTTGTAGGGACTAGTTTACAGTAAGTCGCTACACACACCAGACCAAGCTATTGCCAATGCCGCCTCATCGAGCTGATTGAACCATCATTTAAAAAATTTTCATTGAATTCATTTCACGCCATCAAAGCAAAATTAAAACTACATATAATTTTTATCCCCAGATTGGGATAAAATTTTACAACTCCGGACTGGAACTAGGTGCAGAAGTTCCAACTGGTGTAACAAATAACAATTGTTGGGGACTACTTTGTTATGTACAATACAAATAAAATAGAAAGTACTGGTTTTTTGGTAATAACAGAAAGTACTACTACTTGAAGAGTAGATATCCACATCTTATGGTTTCAAATTTTGCAAATATTTAAGGCATATGGCGCATTGTAGACACTAAGTAAAAAAAAAAACAAGAAAACAATTACCAAAGTACCGAAGTTATTTCGATCTGGGAAAAAAAAAGAAAAAGAAAAGAACCAGTACCAATTTGAGAAACCAAACAACTACTAACTCATGCGGACAGCCAGCCATTCAGATTTCAGACAATTGACCAAACCCGTTTCAATACAGCCATTCAGATTTCAGACAATTGACCAAGTTACATGTGCCATAGCAAGTCACTCGAACAGAAAGGGGGGGACGGGAAAGTAGGGAAAGGTAATAAAGAGACGGCTGGAAGAACTTCATGGAAATTCTACATAGACCAGACATAATTACCAGATGATCAACCAGTTCCCCGACTCGATAAAATAACAATTATAAGGCACAGATCAGACAAGTTACTGGGCTTTGAACCGTTGGAGATGGAAGATCATAGCATTTCTTGAGACCGTCTCACGATTCGACTTACTTTCTTCTTGAACTCGTCCCTTCTGTCTCTCCATTCTTTCTGCAATTTGTACCAAGAGAAGCTAACATTAGAAACCAGAGGAAGAGAATTGCAGACAAAAAGCAAGATTCCTACAATTATGTATAATACCAGCCATTCCAAGGACAGGAAACAAGATACAAACCAAGTATTTTTTTTATAGCAGGATTGTTTTTTTATTACTATCACGAAGTAGGAAAAAGAACGGAACATTAAAATTGTGCTGCAAAATCATATTGCCAAAGCTGCTGTTGCGATCAAACAAACCAAGTATATAGTCAAGTTCCCCTTCCCCTGGCTGGGACACAGCTTCAGGACCTTCTTCTAGACCAGAATTTTAGAGCCTCACCCTCTCTTGACACCATGGAAAAGAAATCTAGACATCTTACGATGTTAATTAAAGATAATCCAAATATTTAGTCACCGAATTGTCTCAATGATAAAAATCCAAAATAGTTATTCACCGGTTTGTCTCGTTGATGAAAATCTGAAAATCCAGCAGTGACAGAAGGGCATAACTTGCCCAATAGAAATGTGTCATCCTTTTTCCTTGATTACGGTTTTAATTCCTAGCTTTTGCCTCGCATAAGCCTAAGCCATCAAGCCCATTGTTTATTTTTTTTCAACCAAGACATAAAGACTTTTTGGATAAAAACCCACAAAGAAAGGGTAAAAAATAACCCAGAAAGACTAATTTCAGAAAACAAATTGATCACCCTGAGCTCATAAATAACTCCATACAATGTTCCTTACAGCCTATAAACAACTTCCAAACCTATACCCATATGCATGCGGATTCCTGAGTGTATGATAACAGACTTATAGCACATATACTTCAACATCTCATTCTCCTTCAAGGATTTCTTATATATATGATTGAATAACAAAAATAATAAAAAAATAACCACATGGATGACTAATATAGTTCAAATTGGTTGCCTTAAAATTCGTTAAATCCTATTTCTGACATAAGGAAAGCTACATACAACATTAAAAGAAAAGGAAAAAAAGTACAATTGTTAATAGTTCCAAAAGAAAAGAGGCAATGGTGGCTTTTAATTCTCATGCTCTTGTAGGAAGGCGCAAAAGAAAAGATAACCACACATAATGGTTTACCAATTTACAAAAGCTTTGACAGGGAAATAGAAGATATTTGGGTTCGGGTCCTTGGGGAAGCAAAAAAAAAACAAACAACTAATTCAGTAGTCAGCTGCATTAATTGTCTTCTAAAAAATGAGTCCAGTAAATTTACAATTAACAGTAAAGGATAAACTGAACAAATAAACGTGAAGAAGCAACAGACAACTTGACAAATACAAACAACGAAATTTCACTTACTGCAGCTTCAATGTTTGCAGGAGATTCATCATTTGGACTTGACAACATGGAAATTATACTCAAGACTATGCTCTCAACCTGCATAACCAAATAAATAAGGTTTTAAAATTCAGCTTCAGTGTAAAGCTCCCACACCATTAGGAAGTTTAATTAATTTGTAGAAGTTTATGGAAGCTCACAGAAATATTAGGAAATGATGAGAACTATGAAAACATCATGAAAATGTTGAAAATC